CTACCACATCCGATGTTGGTGTGCTGGATAATCGTCTTGGTCGGATGCAACACTAGGCCAACCTTCAAACTCTGTCCCTCTCTCTCTCGATCTGCATGTCTGCAATAATGCGTTTGATTTGCGGCAGGAAACCCCCAACCAAAAATATATCGCTTGTGAAGCGCAAGTTCGTCAGCATGGGGTGAAAACTACCAGTTGGTTCTCACCTCTCTCAAAACTTCTTCGAACACGCAATTTAAAATAAATGAACTAATCGGGTTTCCCTGCTTTGGCCCCCTTCAAGATCACGGACTCCCTGCTTGCTACGTCACACTTGACGTGTGTTCGCTGCCCGCTGTAAAGCTTGGAGAGGACGCATGCGCACACAGCTGGCACTCCATGAGCCGCCAACGACCCCCAAATACTGTCATGAGAAATTTCACCAAACGCCTTTTTGAAATCCAACGTGGCAATCCATAATGGCCCGTTGAACTCATTACATTTCTCTGCCAAAAGTGCGACTGCAAAGATTGGCCGTCGCAGGAAAAAACCCTGGCCTGAAAGCAGCTTGATCAAAATAATGGCCGGCGATTAGTATGTCCTTGATTCTTCCACGCGAAACTCTGCCGAACAAGTTGTAGAGAATGGGGATGATGCAAATCGGCCTGTAGTTTCTGGTAAACGCTCGCCCCCCTTCTTGACAATGAACACACATCACACAACACATAACAACAAATGCACAACACCTAACACACAACACACAAACAAACACACACACAACACACACAAACAAACACGCACTCAAACACACACACACACACACACACAAAAAAAACAAACACACACAGACACAGACACACAAACAGACATCGACCCCCAGACCCCCAGGGGCCATGAAAAAGTCACGGCGGGAGGTTTTTCGTTACGTTCCGCTACGGGGGCCCAAGGGGGGGAGGGGGAAAAGTGCGACGGAGCAGGCCTTTTCGGGAGGCGGCGGCGGGGCCTCTCGGAAGCCCTCCCGCCTCCTGAGAAGTGTTCCGTGTCTTCGGGGGGAGGTTCCGACAATTTCTCAGGAGGCCCGAGGCCTTCTGAGCCTGATGAGAAGGCCCGCCGCCCGTCGCTTCCCCACCGAGCGCGCCGCCGAACAGCGAAAGGCAGGCGGGATGCGACCACGATCGATGGGAAGAAGACGGCGACCATGACCAAGACAGAGCGTGATTGCAAGTGCGATGAATAGATCAACTCTGGGGTAAATCAATGTTGGGGTAAATGAGGACGACTCCGACTCCACGGCGAACCCACGGCAAGCCCTATGTTCCGCGCCCCAGGTAGACGCAGCCCGCACCGCGGCAGACCCACGGCAAACCCACCGCGCCCGAGGCGGAGCTTGCCCTGGTGCCCGCGGCGCTCTCCCCAGGACGCGAGGCCGCGCTTCTGAGCAAGCGGAGCGGCGACAAATCAAATATGCAATCGATCCCCTACTCGAAACGTCACGGCGTAACAGACCCCCGCGCTTACGAGGCCCCGGCACAAAATGGAACCAGCAGGTCGCCCGGCCACCCAGCACAGAGGCGCAGTGTGTGTGTGTGTGTGCTTGTGCGTGTGCGTTTGTGTGTGCGTGCGTGTGCGTGTGCGTGTGCGTGTGCGCGTGCGCGTGCGCGTGTGCGTGTGCGTGTGCGTGTGCGTGTGCGTGTGCGTGTGCGTGTGCGTGTGCGTGTGCGCGCGCGTGTGTGTGTGTGTGGTGTGTGTTCTGTGTGTGTGTGTGTGTTTGTGTGTGTGTGTGTGTTTGTGTGTGTGTGTCTGTGTGTGTGTGCGTGCGTGCGTGCGTGCGTGCGTTCGTGCGTGCGTGCGTGCGTGCGTGCGTGCGTGCGTGCGTGACTGTGTGTGTGTGTGCGTGTGCGTGTGTGCGTGTGCGTGTGCGTGTGTGTGTGTGTGTGGTGTGTGTGTTCTGTGTGTGTGTGCGTGCGTGCGCGCGTGTGTGTGGTGTGTGTGTGTGAATGCGTGCGTGCGTGCGTGCGTGCGTGCGTGCGTGCGTGCGTGCGTGCGTGTGTGTGTGTGTGTGCGTGTGTGTGTGTGTGTGCGATTCCGCACCGTGCCGTGGCGCGCCGCCGCCGGGCAGCGCCGTGCCAGGGGCGCAGCGCGCCGCGCTGCAGGCAGGGGCAACTCTTGGGCGTGCAGTGCTGGGGGGGTGGGGAGAGAAAGGTGCGCTTCTCGGGTCCTCAAGGTTCCCGGCGGTGGACAAACTTCCTTTAGTAGACCTCCCCTTAGTGAAAACGGCCTGGGACCAAATCCGACGGACCTGGACCCGCAAAAACGACGGCCGCGACGCCCTCTCGCGAACCGAAAACGGCCAATTCCTTAATCGACGTGTCGGGGTAGGAGGTCTGTCCACCCCCGAGGTTCCCTCTGGGGCTCTCGAGGGTCCCGTTCGCCTGCGGCCCTCGCTGCTCCCTCCGACCATCGCCCCCCATGGCGCGACGCCCACCGTCTCCGAGTAGGGGATCGACTACAGGATTGAGTTACCCTGAAATTGGTTTTCTCGTCGAGCCTCAAAACAAATATGTAGAAAGCTCCGTAGGTTCGACTGGGGAATCAAGCTTGGGGTAAATCAATTCTGTAGTCAATCCCCTGCTCGAAGTCTGGAGGACCCGCGGATCGGGGCGCTGAATTCTTGCTCGCGGCGGGCGTCTTCGCCCTGTGTGGGGCCCCGGCCCCCCCCCCCCCACCCGCAGATCGAGCCCGCTCGTACAAAAGACGCAGAAGAATTGGATATGGGGCTCCAGTCTAGGTTTTTTCGCGATGTTGTTTCGTTCTGCAACGCCGGATCTCAGGGGAGGGAGGGTGTTGTCCCAAGGAGTGCCCCGTTCTGAGAGGTCAGGGGGTGAGCATTCACACCGCAGAACTCTTGCCGTAGATCTCCGTCATGTGCGCTTCCGGAGAAGTCTTGCCGTAGATCTCCGTCATGTGCGCTCCCGGGAATAGCCTCGGCCACCAGGACTCCAGGGTCTCCCCGTTGCCGTGCACAAAACACTGCGACATGTCCCGCGCCACCCTGTTGTACACCCTCCCGCTGTCCTGGTATAACGCCGAGTCCTCCACACGGATCAACTCCATGGTCAGGGTTCCAGAGTAGTCCAGCGCGACAATTTCATGGTACCCCCCCTCGAACATGCAAGCCTGGAGCCCGTGCTGGTCGTCGTATTCGTAGCCAGGGTCGCCGCCAAAGTGGCCCTGCCCTTTGTCCAGCATGCAGCCCAAAAGATCGTATAACACAAGGGGGGGGCCCATTAGGAAGCCACTGTTCGCGTACCTATAAGAATATTCGGGGCAGCCGGTGACGTTGCAGTATGAGTCGAGATTCATGCCGAAAGACTGCATGATCACCTCGCGGCGGTCCTCCAACGAGTCGTACGGCCAGTCAGTGGTGGGGAATGGCGACGTGTCGGCGCCAGCGATGACAATTGCGCCAGTGAGATTGCGGATGAGATCGTACCTATCGAGCAGCTCGTGGTAGCGACAGCCCCCGAACGCCATATCCGAGTTGTCCACCAAAACAACAATCTGGCCTGGATCGTCACTGTGTACCAACTCGCCCACGAACTTCCGGTACGCATCCACCTTCGTCTTGAAACCATACCACTCCTCGTGCGCGCAGACATTCTGGATGGTCATCGAATTGTTCACCCCCTGCATGGGCCAACCGGCGGACGCCTTCCGGGTCTCGCAGGTTGCTACCGTGACCACCCTCTCGGCCGCGCACACGTAAAGACCGTCGCTGGTCAGGGAGACTGTACTGTCCGAGTTCACCCGCAGGTCAAAGATGTCTGCAGCACTGGGGACGTGGCTTGATGCCCTCATTGTGCAGGGACCGACCGTCCCGGCATTCCTATAGTCATACCACAGCATGCTCTCAGAACCCAAAAATGTTCTAAGAACAAAAACAATGCTCTTAGAACATAGATCCGATGTGATAAAACAAGACAATCCCAACCAGAAATGTTCTAAGAACATTTCGTGGAAACCACAAGAGGTTCTTAGAACATTGTTTGGTAGGGCTATAGGCGAGCAAGGACGCTTCGCCACTGCTTGACCTCAGGCCCTCCAAGCGGCCGAAGAGCCGCGACCGGGCGTCCCCACGCAGCCTGCCCGGCGGCGCCGCCGCTGGGGGATTCGTGGCGCCCTCGGCGGAGAGGGGGGCGCGCAGCGAGACGCCGCCGTCGTCGCTCTTGACCTCCCGGAACATCTCCGCGGGCCCAGCCTCGGCGGCGTCGGCGCCGAGGGTCTCGCCGCCTGCGGCGGTGAGGTAGGCTCCCCCGCGCGTCTCCAGCGTGACGAGGCCGCCTGGCCCGGCGGAGCTCCGGCGGATCTCTGCGCACTGCGACGGGCTCTGCCGCGCAACCGTCTCGTTCACCATCACCAGGGCTGTCTTGTAGTTCTGGACCCACGCCTCGTACACAGTCAGGTACGCCCCTGCTCTCGTCTTGAAGGCCACGACGCCCTCCGACTCTAGGACGGTCGGGGTGAAGGCGGATCCAGCACCGCCATTCGCGCCGCAGTCCACTAGGACAAGGCCAGCGGTGCTCGAGGTGAGGCACATGTTGTTGGACTGTTTCAGCGAAACTGTCTTGTCGTCGTTGTACTGGACGGTGAACTTCCCTGTCTCCGCGACGGGGCTCGCTACGAGCACGCCCTGGGCCGTCACCCCGCCCTTCATCTCGGAGCGGTTTCCCGCTACGTCGAGGTGGAGGCCGTTCCTATCCCTCAGGCTTATCCTGGCGTCGGCGTGCTTCAGCAACCGAAACTTCTGGGACTCCAGGACTTCTCTGCGCGCCTTGCGCACGGCGACGGTCCACTCTACAGGGTGCCACTCGAACGAGTCGGAGCCGGCGTCCGGCGATTCCATTCTACGGCGAGCGCTGGACGCATCCAGGGCCTCGATACTCTGCTGGAGCGCGCCCCGGTGCTCTGGCGGAGCCCCTGGGGACCCTGGCGGCCCCTGCCAGCCAGCGCGAAGCCCTGCGGCGGCCGCGGCGGCCCCTGCCGCCACGCACGCCAGCACCAGGCCCACGGCTGTGCTGCGCCCGCTTCCCGAGGCACCTGTGCGCGCTTGCGCTCCACATCTGTCACTGCACCGGCCTTGCACGCGTGCTGCTGCGAATCTGTTCGTGGACGTCTGTCGGTGCACCACCCCGAGCCGGCGAACGAAACGCGTGGAATTCACGTGCGTCTTCCTCACCCCTGGCCAAACAAAAAGGCGCACGAAAACCACTCCGAAGTCCGGCACGGAATTCTCCAGGACACTCCGGGCCCATCACGCGGTCTTCCGAGCGACGTCCGCTCTGCGATGTCGGCGCCATGACAGATCTGCCCCCGGGCCCCTCCCCGCGAAAGCTCGGCGGCGAGCCCCTGCCCGCGAGCTGCCTGCTCCTCCCCGAGAGCGCTCTGGCCTCCGACGGCCCCCTTTGGGCCCGCAGGGCAGACTCCCGGGCGCCCCCCCCCAAAAAACAAGCGCGGGCGAGCTCTGCCTCCTGTCCTCGCTGCTCGCCCAACCCTTCGAGCGCCACCTGCGTGCGTCTGCGGGATCTCCGCCGCGTCCTCGCCGTCCTTCGGGCCCGCGCCAGCATGGACTGCAGGACCCGTGGATCTGCTGGCACGCGGGCGCGGGGGGGGGGGAGAACGCCGCCCCCCCCCCAACGGGGAACAATGAAGCCGGTGCCGCCCGATTTGGAGACTGCGCAAACGCCGATCTTGCCTTTTTTCCGGCCTGTCCCCCTACAGGGGCATTTTCAACGGAAAAAAATAACCCGAAAATAATCAAACAATAATCCAAAAATAGTCTGGGGACCATTTTTTGAATATTTGTTTAACATTTTTGGTGCATTTTGGGGGTATTCTTTATTTTTCGTCGAAAATCCCCCTGTAGGGGGACACGCCCGACATAAATCTTGCCGCATGGAAGCGGGGCCCGCTGGCAGTCCACTCGCCTCAGTCCACGCTCGCGCTTCTTGCCAGTCCTCCCCGCGCGCGAGGGGCTGGGCGCCCCCCGCGGGCTGCCCAGAGCGGCGCCCCACGACACCGCGAAGCCAAAGCCTGTCGCCCTCGCTGTCCTCGCCGTCCTCGTCCATAGGCATGCGACGTCATGTTTTTGCTGATGCGGGGCCCCAGAAGTCCCGACCCCTTCGCTAGGGCCTGCTTTTGATCTCGAGCCGTACGGTCCCTGGGCCCGGCGAGGGCCCCCCCAAGGCCGAAAACGGCCAGAAACCTTCCGTCGTAGTTCTTGCACGGCGCGAGCATGTCTGGGTCTTGGCCATTCTCGTCGTCTTCGTCCCCATCCTCGCCATCCTTGTCGACCTTCGTCTTCGTCTTCGTTTTCCTCCTCCTCCTGCACCGAACCGAACCGGAACCGAACGAGACCCAATTTTGAACCGAACCGAACCGGAATCGATTTCGAACCGAACCGGGCCGAATGGAACCGCCATGAACCGGAGGTCTCCAGGGACCTGATTTGGCAAATATAAAAGCCGTTCGGCCCCGAGGCCCCCCAGGGCCCCGATTCCGCAAGTCCCCCGATCGAGGCTCCACGGGGCCCCGATGTTGCAAGTCCCCAGAAGCCCCCCGCGGTTCTGCAAGTCCCCAGAGGCCCCCTGGGGCCCCTTGGGGCCTCCGGGGACTTGCAAAAAGGCTTCCGGGGACTTGCAAAATCAGGCCCCGGGATTTGCAAAAACGCCTCCTGGACTTGCAAAATGGTTCTAGGACTTGTAAAATGGCTTCCGGGAGTTGCAAAATGGCATCCGGGACTTGCAGAAAGGCCTCCTGCATGGACTTGCAAAATGGCCTCCAGGACTTGCAAAATGCGCCCGGGATTTGTAACAACTTCCAAGACTTGCACGCGTCCGGGATGTGCAAAATCGATTCCGGCACAAGAACGCGTCCTGGACTTGCAAAATTGATTCCGGGACTTGCAACATCGCCCCTGGGACTTGTAAAATGGCGTCGGGGAGGAAAATGGCGTCGGGGACTTGCAAAGACGCCTCCTTGACTTGCAGAATCGCCTCCGGGACTGCTCCGCGGCGAACCCCATTTCTCCGTGGCGAACCGGGCGGAACCAGAGCGAAACGCATGGCGAACCGGGCCGAACCAGACGGCACCCCTCACAACGACGAACCGAACCGAACCGAACTCGAGAATTCCGACACCGAACCGAGCCGAACCGAACCGGACGCGCTTCGGAACCTGACCGAACCGAACCGCACCGGACCCTTCATGAAACTTGCAACAACTTGACGGATGGAGGGCGGGCCATTTTCAAAACATGGCCCTCGCCTCCGCGCAGCGCACATTCGTCTTAGAAGTTTGCACACATTTGACGGATGGAGGGCTGCCTTTTCAGAATGTGGCTCTTGCCCTAGCGCCGCGCACATTCGTCTTAAACGATTGCAGCAGTTTCACTGATGGAGAGCGGCTCCTTATCAAAATGTGGCTCTCGCGCTAGTGCCGCGCACATTCTCAAGAGTTCACAACAGCCTCAAGGATTATTATGACTGGGTCACAGAAATTGGATTTTGGAAAGATGTAGGACTGGCAGGGCGCAACAATCTGATTCATTCGCGGTGTAAGTTCAAATCCCAGGAATGGCGTCCTGGCACGAGTCTGGATCGTCAGGACGCAACAGTAACGTTGATTCGCGGTGTTGAAATTCCAGGTATGGCGTTCTGACACGGCTCAAGATTTTCCGGCGGTTGCCTTCCAAAGAATCACCTCCCTCAGTGAAAATGAGTCCTCGCAGGGACCTGCGCAGAGGAAACATGGAGGGAGGGTTTGTTGCAACATCGCTGGTGAGTCTTGTCTTTGCACTGGTCCTCCTCCTCCTCCTCCCAGATCTCCACAAGGCCCTGGAGGTCGTGAGAGGCCCCCCAGAGGTCCAGAATTGACCGGAGGCCTCTGGACAGAGAGAGAGAGAGAGTACACAAAGGAGACACGTCCCAAGACCTCGTCCCTTGAATCTCGAGCATCAAACTCTCCAAAGCCTCGCCCCTGGAATCTCGAGCATCAAGCTCTGTCCTCTTCCCACCCCAAGGACCACCCTGGAGGCCTGCCTCCTCCTCCTGCTGAGGGGCAACGATAGACGGGGACTGACATGGGGGGGGAGAAACATCGACCTGTCATCGGCGATACATCGCCGATTGATCGGCGATAGGCCGCCGATAGCGAATCTGCACCTTCCTGGGTGGAATGGGGCTCTCGGGTCCCCATCGGCGGTCAATGGGCGATTTGGGGGCCGATGCATCCCCCCATGTACCCATCCCCCGTCTCCACTGGTCTTCGGGCCATAACTCGGGCCCCCGGCGGCCGTTCGGGACGATCCGGGCACCCCTGGAACGCCCTCGGCGAGACGCAGCCGCTGAAAAGCACCCTTTGGGGCTGGAAAGCCGCCGAGAACCGACTAGAGACTAGAACACCCGAAAACCTCGAACCTTGAAGCTTTGTGCCTCTCAGCGATCAGTAGGCGATCGTTGCCCATGATCGTCCTCGCCACCCTCGCCGCCCTGGCCGCCCTGCGCAAGCGGCTCGGCGACCAGCGGGGTGGGGACGGCCTCGGGCACCAGCGGTCTCCAGGAGCCCGGGCCGGCGGCCGCGGACAACAGGCTGCGCCACCGGCCCTGGAAGCCTGGGAAAGCCCAGAAGCAGGCCCAGACATCCGGCCGCAGACCTCCTCGCGCTGTGAAAAATCACGACGGGAGGCTTTTCTCGCTATTCTCGGCCAGAGGCCCTCGCTGGCCCTCGGGAGCGTCAAAAACTCAGCAGGATGAAAATCCGGTCCCCGTCGCCATTACCATCATCACCATCACCAGCATCATCATCATCATCATCATCATCATCATCATCATCATCATCATCATCATCATCATCATCATCAGCAGCAGCAGCAGCAGCATCATCGTCATCATCATCACCACCACCACCACCATCATCATCACCACCACCACCACCACCATCACCATCACCATCACCATCACCATCACCATCACCATCACCATCACCATCACCATCACCATCACCATCATCATCATCATCATCATCATCATCATCATCATCATCATCATCATCATCATCATCATCATCATCATCATCATGGATGTCCCCCCTCTGAGCGATGCCTGCGCGCGACCGCGGAATCGCGACCTCATCGTGCTCGCAGTCCTTCGGGACATGCTAACATGGACTACAGACTACGTACGGACCGATGGATCCGGCACGTGGGCGCGGGGGGAGAGCACCCCCCGAAACCAGAAAGGGAATGCCGTTTGAAGTTTGAACCAGACAAACCATGATCCATGTTCTCAAAACATGGGACCGGTATGTTAGAACAAGACTGTCTCGGCCAAAGATGGCCCAAGAACATCTCGTGCAAACCGCAAAGGTTCTTTGAACATTCTTTGGCGGGCCTCTTGGCGAGCCAAGACGCTTCGCCACTGCTTGAAATATGTACGGCATCCCCTGGAGCCCGAGTCTCATCCCGAGACGCTTTTTTGACGGTCCCGCGGCCCAGGGGGGTTCCCGAGAGACCGAACGCGGCCAAAAACCTTGCGACGAGATTTTTCCACGACGCGAGCATGTATGAGTCGTCGTCGTCGTCGTCGTCATCGTCATCGTTGGTTGTCCTCGTCGTCGTCATCGTCGTCGTCGTCGGCGTCGGCATCGTCGTCGTCGTCCTCGCCGTCCTCGCCGAACGCAACCGGCTGGGCGTCGTAGCGGGGGCCCCAACGCGGCATGCCAGGCGCCGCCCACCGCCGCGGCCGCCCCCGCACGCGATGGCGGCGGCTCGGCGCCCCCGCTGGAGGGCGGGGCGCTCTCGGAGCCCTGGCGGTGCGGCCTGGGGCCGCCCGCGAGGCTCGCTCGAGCAAGCAGCGAGGGCTACCCTACAGTAGCCGCACACGGTCGGGCATGTGCTACTATCGGACACGCCTGCCAGCGTGGCCCCAAACCGGAAGCTGCGGCAAACTCGCGCGGCGACGACCCGGACGCAGGCCTCTGACGCCGCTTGGATCTCTTGAGCCTTGAGCGACCGCGGCTTCCCGATGGCGCAGGTCGTCCGATATCGGTCACGGGCCATTGGCGGCGTTCCACCTGGAACGCCCCGCGCTGGGGCCGCGACCGCGTCGACGCGGCACGACTCTGCCGCATGGCGTTGTGGTGGGGCGAGCAGGGACATGCTGATACTTCATGTCCTCCTTGGAGGCGCGCGTCCGACCCGAACATATAGCACACCCATCTTGTAAGTTTTCGTTTCCCGAGCGGCGTGGCCAGACAGCGTCCGCCACGACGCATATACTACAAGATTCCTCGGTGCGCGCGCCGCCCCTGGGGGGGCGAAGCAGATCTGGTATAAGATTGTTAGGGGTGACGCCGATGTGAATGTGCAAGATACGTGACACGGAAGCGTCTCTGCGGTCGCGTTTCAGAGAGCACGTGTGCACCCACCGGGCAGCCCCACCCGCGGCAGCGGCCGGCAGCGGGCCGGGACGTGGCGAATCCCCAGGAGACCTTCGCAGGCGGTGGCGGGAGGCAGATGGGTAACAATAAACCGGAGCGTGGCGAATTCTCGGGACCCTCATACACTTCCCTAGCAAAACAAATAAAAAAACAGCGCAAGCAGACTGGGGAATCCAGGGGCACATCCTCCGTCGACGCCGAACTCCGTGGGATGCCCCAGGGCGTCGCGGGCCAATCGGTAGATCAAGCACCATCGACCGTTGGCAAACCAATTCCTCTTGTGATGCACCTGTACTGGGAGCCGCGCGTATATACACTATAAGGTATCTATAGGCCCTGTCCTAGGGGGATGCGCATCCCCCCCCATGCCCACCCCCGCCCCCCTTGGTAATCGGGCCACAGCTCGGGCCCCCGCCGGCCGTTCGCGACGATCCAGCCCCCCCCGGAACGCCCTCGGCGAGGCGCAGCCGCTGGATGGCATCCTGGGGCTGGAAAGCCGCGGGTAGAACCGACGAGAACACCCGAAAACCTCGAAGCTCGAAACGTTGCCCCTCTCAGCGATCAATGGGCGATTGGGGGTCGACCCAGACCTCCTCGCGTCGTGAAAAAATCACGACGGGAGGTTTTTGGCTATTTTCGGCCTCTGGGGGCCCTTCCCGGGCCTCGGGACCGTCAAAAAACGACTCAGGATGAACAACCAGTCCCGGGGCAGGGGTCCAAACCTCTTGGGGTCGACGTCGTGAAAAAATCACGACGTCGGAGGTCTGGGGATGCGCCCCCCCCCCCCCCCCGTGCCCCCCTGGGCCCATCCCCCGCTGCTGTGAGCCCCCAACCTCTGCGCGCGTCGCCGAGCCCCCGCGCGCACCCCGGGCGGCCTGGAAGTTGTCGAGCAGCGCGGGCTTCTTGCTCAGCTCCTGGCGAGGCAGCGCACTTCGAGTAGGGGATCGGCTGGAGAATTCATTCGCCGCGGCAGAAAAATCCACGACACATCTAGGATGGAATGCATCGACTTCTCGTAGGCCTGCCAGACTTCCACGACTTTGCCATGGATTCGACGAGGAATCCTGTAGTCGATCCTCGAAGAGAAAAACAGCATAAACATAAACTTGTGGCGCTGCGCGCGGGTTTCTTGGATCGGCACTGGGTCCCACTCCCTGGCGCGCGGAGCGCGCCAGGGGCGGCGCTGGAGGCGCCGCCGGGGGGGCCCAGCGCGGATGCATGAAACCCGAGCGGAGCGCCAAAAGTTTATGTTTTTTTTGTCACGCAACAATGGCAATGAAAGGTTAACAACCGATGGCATCCACCAGAGACCACGGTCGCCAATAGCAGAAATGAGGTCCTGCGAGCGTGGCCGAAACTCGGGCCAGAAATTCGGGCGGTTGTTCGCCTGAACGAGAGTAGGAAAGGAGGAACATGAGAACAAACAACACGAGAAAGAAGAGGAGAATGCTGATACGGAAATGTCCCCAATTCGTATCAGCCAGCTCCGTTTTAGGGTTTAGGGTCAGACCCGGCAGCTCGACCAAAAATCTGGCACAAAGGTCCCGGGGAGGAGGAGGCGAAGGAAGGAGGGGAAAAGGAGGGCGAGTAGGAGGACGAGGTAGAGGACGTCCAACGCAGGCACACTGGGAACGTCGCCAGAGCCAACCTGCCATAGGCGAACTCAAGCTACGGTCATGGGCCCAGAAGACTGGACGGGGCAGACCGTGTGTAGAGATCCCCCGAGGCCGGGAACGCCAACGATATTTCACACGAGTGCTGCAGTCGAACGCGCAATGAGCGCATGTTATGGCGTTTTTTCCCCAATCAGTGCTTGCACTGAAGGGGTCCTAGCGGAAATTAGAATTTTTGGCGAAATGTTCCGCCGATTTGGGTGGCCGGCTGGGTTCCCGGGTTCCCGGTTCTGGGTCCCCGGGTTCCTGGTCATTGGTTCCGCGACGAGTTCGGTGGGTTCTGGGTTCCCGGGTTCCCCGTCGATCTCTCCCTCTCTCTATATATACATATATATAGATAGATAGATAGATAGATAGATAGATAGATAGATAGATAGATAGATAGATAGATATCGATTTCTTTATCGATCCTATATATATATATATAAATAGATAGATATCGATTTCTTTATCGATCCCATTTCGAACCATCCACTGATTGGGCCTTTGTCTCTGGCGTTTTTTCCGTCTTTGAGATCGCGCGGGGGGGGGCCCCCTCGCGCGGCGGCCTCCGGCGCCCGCGGGGCGCGTCCGCCGCCCGGAGGCCACGAGGCAGGAGACGCGGCCAGGCCGAGGACGCAGTCGGGCGAGGGTACGTTCCCAGACCCCCCCTCGCGCTGCGCAGCAAGCCCGACGGGAGGTTATTCTCGGCGGTGGGCAAGCCTCCCTTTAGCAGACCTCCCCTCAATGAACACGGCCTGGGACCGAAACCGGCGGACCTGGACCCGCAAAAACGACGGCCGCGACGCCCTCTCGCGAACCGAAAACGGCCAATTCCTTAATCGACGTGTCAGGGTGGTAGGTCTGTCCACCCGCGATTTTCGCAACTTTCGGGCTCGGGGGGCCCTTCCCGTGCATCGGGGCCGAACACGGCTCGGGACGACAAGCAGGCCATGGGGAACGGGTCGGGACTTCCGGGGACGCTGTCCTGCAAAAACCCGGACGCCGAATGTCTGGGTTCGGGGATTGACTCCAGCAAGGTTACTTCTTGCATGGACGTGGGGGGGGGCCTCGACCTGAAGCAGGCCGCAAACGGCTCGCACGTGCGGCAATCGCGCAGGTCGGAAGGTCACCATATCCACAGACATTCCGGCACGAGCATCTTGACCGGAGAAGCTGGTCGTCCTCTTTCTTCCCTTGGTCCACCTGACATCCTGCATCGTCCACCCGCCCTTCCTGGTGTTCCAGCCTGCCTCTTCCTCTTGGGTGGAGAATGAAGGGGAGGAGGGGAGGAGGCAGGGGGCGGGGGGGAGGAGGAGGAGGAGGAGGAGGAGGAGGAGGAGGAGGAGGAGGAGGAGGAGGAGGAGGAGGAAGCATCCAAGGAGGAGTATAGGAGGCAGAAGCTGGGGCCTCCCACGCAGTCCGTGGGTGGGAGGAGCCGGGGGATGAGCTACGGGGGGCTGGCCGCGCGCTGCACCGGACGCGTCCTGGCTCCCGCCCACCCCCATGCCTGGGCTGGGCGGCCAGCGTGTTTTGCAGAGGGCCGCGGCCGCAGCGCCAGGGCCCTGGAAGAGAGGAGGAGGAGGAGGAGGAGGAGGAGGAGGAGGAGGAGGAGGAGGAGAGGAGGAGAAGGAGGAGAGGAGGAGGAGGAGGAGAAGGAGGAGGGGGGGGGCCTTGGAGGAGAAGGAGGAGGAGGAGGCGGAGGAAGGAGGAGGAGGAGGAGGAGGAGGAGGAGGAGGAGGAGCAGGAGCAGGAGGAGGGGGAGGACGAGCGGACTCACGCGGGACCTCGCCCAGCGAAGCGGTCGCGTCAAAAGAGAGAGAGAGAGAGAGAGAGAGAGAAAGGGCGGGGGGCAGGCGCGCGAGGAGCATAATTAGGACGGCGGGGACGAGGAGTCCATGTGCAGGGGAGGAGGAGCCCCCGGGAGGAGAAGGAGGCAAAGGGCAGGAGGAGGAAAGCGGGAGGGCGCGGAGGACAAGGAGGGGCGGAAGAGGGGGGAGGAAGGGCGGGGAGAGGGGCAGAGGCAGGACGACGACGAGGAGGACGAGGAGTCCATGGAGGGGAGGAGAAGCCCCCAGGAGGAGAAGGAGGCAAAGTCAGGAAGAGAGCAGGAGGCCGCGGATGACGAGGAGTGGCGGACGAGGGGAAGGAAAAAAAGGAAAAACGGGGAGAAGGGGCAGAGGGCGCACAATAGAGGGAGAGGGAGAAAGAGAGAGAGAGAGAAAGAGAGAGAGAGAGAAAGAGAGAGAGAGAGAGAGAGAAACAAACAAATAAGCAAGAGAGAAAGGGAGAGAGAGAGAGAGAGAGAGAGAGAGAAAGAAAGAGCAAAGGAGGCCGGGAGGAGGGGGGAGGCGGTGGACCTAGAGATCCGACGCTCCGAAAGAAAATTGGAGCGGGCGGCTTTTGGCCGTTTGACGCCTCCGAGTGCTCGCCGGGCCTCGGGAGCGTCAAACGCCGAGTCGGGACGAAACGCGGCCCTACATAGGGAAGTGGTCCGGACCTCCTGGGACCACGCCTCGAAGGAATTGGAGGAGCCAAATGTCTGGGAGGGCGAGGGAGCGGGGACGAAGATCCAGACCCGCGACGTCGTGATTGTTTCACAGCGTCGACCCACGGAGGTCTGGAGCTCCTCTCCGGGACCGGGGTTTCCTCCCGGGTCGGTTCTGTGAAGGCCCCGAGGCCCGAGAAGGGCCCCCGGAGGCCGAAGATACAGTGCCGTTTTTTTAATACATGCTCCGCGTGCGGATCATGTATTAAACATGCAGGGATTTAGTATTGAAGACAACGATGAGTTCACGCATAAGATTTATTCATACATTAACCATTATTAAGATCCAATGCTTTAAGAAAATCCGATGTATAAAAAACTGCCCTGTAGTCAAACACCTCCCCCTCGTGATTTTTGTCACAGCGCGAGGGGGTCTGGGGAGGAGTACGCCCCCTGGGATCCTTCAGTTCAGCGATCTGGCCCTTGAGCGTCTCCATGGCGACCAGAGAGGCGAGGATTACTGAACTGATGGAGTTCGACGTCCTGGCAGACCGGCATCCATCAGCTCAGTCATCCTCGCCTCCCCCCCAGTCGCCATGGAGACGCTCAGGGGCCAGATCGCTGAGCTGAAGGATCTCAGGGGGCGTAAGGAGGGGCGATCCCCAGAGAAGCGCCCCCCCCCCCCGAGGGCGAGCTGGAGGCCCAGCCGCCGCCCCCGCCCTCGGGGGGCGGCGAGCGGCGAGCGCGCCCGCGGAAGCCTCGGTGGCCTCGGCCTGCCCGTGGCGGCCCCGGAGAGCCGACAACCGCGTGGAGCCTGTGTGTTTAAATGTTTAAATCCTTCGGGCAGGTAGTACTCGCATGGCGTTCGCCCCCCCCTCCCGGCCCTGCCTCCCGCCTCGCTCCCTCTTCGGACGAATCGAACGCTGGCGTGTGCAGGTGCCTTTCGGCTCGCGTGGCTCCCGCAGGTGCAGGTCGCTTGCGGCTCACAGCAGGTGCAAGCCCCCCCCCAGCCCATGCAAGCAGACTTGCCGGAGTCTGCAAAAACATGCTCTTGAAACATGGCAAAACAAACACGACCCGAGCCCTGGACCAAATCTTCTTTCTGAGTCATTCTTCGAGCCGCAACGATCTGTGAGGGTACGTGGGCCCGAAACCTGGCGAAAAAACACCCACCTCGGGAAAAAGTGAAGGGACAAACGATCGATGATCGACGACAGACGACGGACGACGGACGACGGACGACGACGACGACGGACGACGACGACGACGACAACGACGACCGACGACCGACGACCGACGACGAAGACGACGACGACGACGACAGACGACGACGACGACGGACGACGAACACGACGACGACGACGACGACGGACGACGGACGACGACGACGACGACGACGACGACGACGACGACGACGACGACGACGACGACGGACGACCGACGACCGACGATCGACGACCGACGACGACGACGATCGACGACCGACGACGACGACGACGACGACGACGACGACGACGACGACGACGACGACGACGACACCGACGACCGACGACCGACGACCGACGACTGACGACCGACGACGACGCTGCTGCAACGCCAGGATCTCAAGGGCGAGCGGGCGCAGCCCGTGGCAGAGGCGGCGACGCGCGCGCGCGCGCGGACGCAACCGGCGGGGCTCCACGGCCGCCTCGATGGTCTCGTGGGCGTTGTCTGCCACGTCGCTGGGCGGCAGCCGGCCTCCGCCGGGGCCGCGGCGCCGCCGAGGGCCCGGCCCCCCTTCAGGCCCCGCATCGCGGGCAGCCCCAGGCCCCCTCGCGCCGTGAAGACATCACGAAGGGAGGTGCTTCCCTCGCGTTCGGGCTCCGAGGGGCCCTTCCCTCGGCGGTGGACAGACCTCCCTTTAGTAGACCTCCCCTTAGTGAAAAGGGCCTGGGACCGAAACCGACGGTCCTGGACCCGCAAAAACGACGGCCGCGACGCCCTCTCGCGAACCGAAAACGGCCAATTCCTTAATCGACGTGTCAGGGTGGGAGGTCTGTCCACCCCCGATTCCCGGGCCTCGAGACCGTCAACAAAACAACTCGGGAGGAAAAGCCGGTCCGGGGGACGGGGTCCAGACCTCTGGTGGTCGACGCTGCGGGCAACGATCACGACGTCGGGGGGCTGGGGCGGCGGCGCGTGGGCGCGCGAAAGGGGGCGGCGCGGGAGGTCGTGCGCGGGCGAGGATCGGGCCGGGCGAAAGGGGCGGATAGCAAAGGGGGGGTTTGAGAATCAGCTCAAGTAGTTGATTTTCCTGGCGCCTCCCAGCGCCGGGAGGCGCCCATATGTATCGAGGAATGGGCCCCTCGGCGGGGCCGAAACCGGCTGCGTGCAGCAGATTTCGCACCCCCCCCTTTCCCAATGCCCCCCTTTCGTTCGGCCCGAGAGGATGGCAGGGGGAGGCGGAGACCTATATACATAGAGAGAGAGAGAGGGAGAGAGAGAGAGAGAGACTAGAGAGAGAAAGAGAGAGAGAGAGAGCCCCGACGCTGCAAGACAGCATTGGAGCGGACGGGCCTCGGGGGCGTCACCAAGACGGCTCGGGGCGGAGAGCCGGCCCCAATGGGCCAATGGTGTGGACCTCCGGGGCCCACGCATCGACAGCAGTGGAGCAGCCGGACGTCTGGGTCTCCGCCTCCCCCTGCCATCGGGATCCTCGTCATCGCACCGCACGTCCTCCGTCGTCGCCACACCCGCCGGGTCCGGCTCAATCCAGCTTCATCCCGCTCCATCCGGCCCAGTGCCGCTTGATCTGGATCGATCCTGTTCTGAGTCATCGGGCCTGCTCCCGCCGAGTGGCCCCCTCACTCGGGCTCAACACAGCCCTTCTCATCGTTCCGTCAAAGACCTTCCAGGAGTTGACCTGACGTTCCAACTCGCCCCCTCTCCCCCCGTCCACCTCCATCCAGAGACCAACAACACACGTACACGCACGCGGTCAGTTTCGGCTGGCCTGCACTTGAACGCGGTCTCTCGTGCACGCGGGGCCGCGGATGGTGTACATGTGCACGTGTCCTTGCTCGCCCAACTCCATCCCTCGGCTGCTCCCAATTTTTTCCATGCGTGGGCCCCGGAGGCCCGGACCACTTCCCCAGGGCTGGTTTTTCGTCCTGCGTCCTCCTGTGACGCTCCCGAGGCCCGGCGAGGGCCCCTGGAGGCCGAAAGCGGCCAAAAACCGCCCGCTCCAATATTCTTTCGGAACGTCGAATCTCTCGAGGGAGGTGGGCGGGGGGGGGGGGGCGTCACCTGTTCGGGGAAACCAAAAGGTGCCGATACCGCCACTCCCCAGACCTCTCCCGGGGCGCATTCTGACCAGCGCTTCGAGGCGAATCCGGCGGTGGCGACGAGGGCCTGTCAGGAGGCTCCAACAGGGGGAAAACGAGGCGAGGAGCGCGGTATGGGTACCCCTTTCCCCTTCGACTGCTCGGGGCCTCCCGGCGGTGCCGGGAGGCCCCGAAGAGGCCTCCCGGCACCGCACGAGTCGCACGCAGGAGGCCTCCGCGGAGCGTGCCGCCTGCGCGCACTGGAGCCGCACGTGGGCAGGAGAGGGGGGCGGTGCATGGGGGGAGGTGCTCCTCCTCCTCCTCCTCCTCCTCCTCCTCCTCCTCCTCCTCCTCCTCCTCCTCCTCGCTCCTCGCTCCTCGCTCCTCGCTCCTCGCTTCTCGCTCCTCGCTCCTCGCTCCTCGCTCCTCGCTCCTCGCTCCTCCCTCCTCCTTCCTCCTCCTCCTCCTCCTCCTCCTCCTCCTCCTCCTCTCCTCCTCCTCCTCCCTCTCTCCTCCTCCGCCTCCTCCCCCCCCCCCATCTCCTTCTACTCCTCCTCCTTTTCTTCTCTTCCTCCCTCCTCCTCCTCCTTTGCTTCCTCCTCCTCCTCTCTCCCTCCTCCCTCCTCCTCCTCCTCCTCCTCCTCCTGCTCCTCCTCCTCCTCCTGCTTTCTCCTCCTCCTCATCCTTCTCCTCCTCCTCTTTTTCTTTCTCCTCCTCCTTTTCTTCCTTCTCCTCCTCCTCCTCCTCCTCCTCCTTCTTCTCCTCCTCCTCCTCCTCCACCTTCTCCTCGCGGGAGCGGAGGGCGTGAAAGGGATGGCGAAGATGACGAGGGGAGATCGAGTACTAGGGGATCGGTTACAGAAGTGAGTCACCCCAGGATTTATTTTCACGCCGAATGTAAAGACGAATGCGTATGATTCTCGTAGGTTCATCAAAGTTCGACGCATTTTTGAGAATAGTCAAATTTTTGGGGAATAATCAACTCTGCAGTCGATCCCTTACTGAAGAGGGGGGCGGAACGGGGACGGGAAGGGCGGCGAGGAGAGGGCGGCGGAGAGCAGGCTGAGGAGACGAGGACGAGGAGGATGACGACGACGAGGTTCAGCACGAGGCGGTCCCTCTGGCAATGGCATTAGGCATGACTCCGCACTGGCAGCCGCCAAGCGGCCGTCAGCAGCACCCTCGGCCAAGTCCCGCCCGAGCCCCAGACCCCCGACGTCGTGAGTTTTTCACCACATCGACCCCCAGAGGTCTGGAGCCCTTCCCCGGGACCGGCTTGACATCCTGCGTCGTTCTTTGACGGCCCCGGGGCCCGGGAAGGGCCCCCCGAGCCCGAAAATGAGGAAAAATCTCCCCCTGAGATCCGATGTTGTGATTTTTTCGATACGGGGTCTCCAGAAGTCTCGACCCCTTCCCCGAGACGTTTTTTTCATCCCGAGTCGTGTTTTGATGGTCCCGAGGCCCGGCGAGGGCCCCTGGGGGCCGAACTTTGCCAACAACCTCCGTCTTGATATTTTTTAATGCGTTGGATCTCTGGGCCCGTCGTGATCATTTTTCCACGGCGCGAGGGGGTCTGGGGCCCGATCTGCTGGGAGAGCAGGCCGCCGGCACGTGGAGGGAGAAGATGGCGCGGGGGAGGAGGAGGAGGAGGAGGAGGAGGAGGAGGAGGAGGAGGAGGAGGAGGAGGAGGAGGAGGAGGAGGAGGAGGAGGAGGAGGGGCCTCTCAGAAGCCCGGAGGCTTCCGAGTGGCCCTGCCGCCCTCTTGGAGGGCCTGCCCTCTCGCCTCCCCCCTCGGCGCGCCGCCGAACGCCTCCCCCCCCTCCTCCTCCTCCTCCTCCTCCTCCTCCTCCTTCCTCCTCCTCCTCCTCCTCCTCCTCCTCCTCCCTCCTCCTCCTCCTCCCTCCTCCTCCTCCTCCTCCTCCTCCTCCTCCTCCTCTTCCTCATCCTCCACCTCCTTCCCCCCTCCAACTTATGGTGGGGGTGGTGGCGGAGCCAGAGGGGGGCGGAGCCAGAGGAATGTGAGACTCAGCCAGCAATGCGCGCACCGTGAAACAAAGACACCGCGCGCCTAAGAGCAAGGCAGCTCGGCCCCGCCGCGCTGTAGCGGCGACGGGGGCAGCACTAATAAGGAGGCGAAGGGCGCGAGGTGAGGAAGTTGTCCACATCCACCGCTGGGGGGGGGGACCCTCCTGAACTCCAGGATCGGCGACGAGCGAGGGGGCGACGAGAAGGAAGGAGGACGACGACGAGGACGAGGCGGAGGAAAAGGACAGGGTCAGTGTAGGTTTTTGTCGGCAGCGAGCCTGGGGGGAAGCGAGAAGGGGCGGGCCTTCCCATGAGTCTTGGAAGGCCCCCCAGCCTATTCTGGGGAGTTCCCTGAGCCTTCCCCGAATAACAAAAAAGCCCTCTCGGATGGCGCGAGGGCCTCCGAGAAGTCCCGCCGCCTTCTGGAACAGGCCTTCTCCTTCTCACTTGCCCCCCTCGCTCGCCGCCGAGACGTGGAGGGCGGCTCCGTGGATCTGGGCACGCGGGAGCGCGGGAGAGGCCGGCGCCGCCCGAGGTTGGCACGGGGCACCGGCGGAACCCGCCGCGAAGCCAGGTGGCTCGGGGGGGGTCCCTGGCGGGTGACCTCGGGGTGGTGGGCCTTTCTCTCCTCCCCTCCCTTTCCCCGCTCCCGCGCACGCTGTGCTTCGCCAGACCTCCATGAACGACCCGCCACGCAGCTACGCGCGAGGAACCGATGAGGAGGAGTAGGAGGAGGAGGAGGAGGAAGAGGAGGAGAAAAGCAGGGAGGAGGAGGAGGAGGAGGAGGGAGAAGGGAGGAGGAGGAGGGAGAAGGGCGGAGGGAGGAGGGAGGAGGAGGGAGGAGGGAGGAGGGAGGAGGGGAGGAGGGGAGGAGGGGAGGAGGGCAGGAGGGAGGTGGGGGGAGGGGGGAGGAGGAAAGCATGGGGGGGGGGGAGGGGATGGATCCACCGCCCCCTGGGGCCCAGACGGACCCGTGCCCTGCGCCTGCCGGGGGGGGCTCGGGGAGACGGGGCTCCCCGGGCGGTGGCTGCCTGTGCGGGCCCAGGCGTACGAGCTGCCTCGGCCTGTCCAACACGGCACCGAGGGCAGAAAATCCACCCCGGTACGGTAGAGGGAAACAATTACTGAACACTCCCCCTCCCCCCAAAACTCAATGATGGCACGCGCGGGGGAGACTGCGGTCAAAGTGCACGTCGTCAGACCCACCGCCAACTTTGAACATTGGGGGAAGAGGGAGGCGTTGACAGCTGAATGTGGTATGAGTGTTCGCTAATTTGTTCCGAGGCCTGTATTGTTGTGGATGCAACGGCAGTGGACACCCTAATAGTCCGATCATTGACCTTAAAACGTGTTCATCAACATGTCGGAACATGTTCTACACGTGTTTTAAGCATGTGTTTTGCATGCGTAGACCATGTTTAACACATGTTTTAGACATCCAGAAATTATTTGGCAACACGTTTCCTCTCCATTGATCCTCCTCCACAACGGTATTGGAGGCCTGGAAATGGGCACCAACACCAACACAGGGGTATGCCTCCACAGGGGGAAGATGATGCTGGATTTCGGTGTTGGTGGTAATATTTCGACCACCTTGGAAGCCAGAATAGTACCACCATGTCACCGAGATCGGGATCTTCTTCCCTCGGTGGAGGCACACCGCCGAAATTGGTGTTGGCGTCAACCTCTAGGCCAGCGACGGTAATAATCACCCGACAAGCGAAGCCGTTGAGTTGACGCGCCCAAGGAAAAGAATCGAACAGGACGGGGCTGGTCAATAAAGGCCCAGGGCCGTGCAGTAAGCGTCAATTGTCGGATCTGTGTGTTTTTTCCTCCCTTGATACTGGGCCCCAGAAATCCCGACCCCCTCCCCACCTTGCGATCCTGGTGTTGCATTTTTTTTCTTAGCGGGGGCGCGTTCGCTCAATTTCGGGCACCCGGGCCCTCACACATCGATCCAGCTCGGAAGCTGATGCAGAAAGATGAGGTCAACGGCCCCGGTCGTGATGTTTCGCGATGTTGCAATGTTTGCGCCACGACGGATCTCAGGGATCTCCGGGCAGGGCAGGGCTTTTTTCATCTTGATTCGGCTTTTGACGGCCCCAGGGCTGGTCGACGGCCCTCAACAAAGGCCGAATATGTAGAACTACGGTAGGTTCGTGCGGGGTCGGCGCGCGCAAAGGTTTTTGACACCGCGTCGATCGTTCAACCTTGAATTGATCGCGGCCTTGATCGTTCAGAATTCAATTCGATCTTGTCCGATGGCGCTACCGTGTTCGTCGCTGCCTCCGCGTCGCAGAGTTCAACCTTACACGCCTTCGCCGGCGTCGCTGGCGCGCCAACGCCGCGCGAACCAACCGTACCATCTGGATTGGAGGAACAAGCAACAAGGGCTCCCAACTTCGCGCTTCGCGCTCCGCGAAGCGCGAATAACTTCGCGCCCTCGCGCCGCCCCCCCAAAGGGAGAAAAGGAGGACGAGGAGGAGAAGGAGAAGGAACGAGGACCGCGAAGCGCGAAGCGCGAATAACTTCGCGCCCTCGAGGGAGCCCTTGTTCTCGGAGGTCTGGCGGATTTCTCGGATCGGCGCCGCACCTCCCTATTCACGGGCGCGCGAGGCGCGCCCGGGGGCGGCGCCAAGAGGCGCCGATCCACGGGGAGCCGGCGCCGATGCACGAAAAAAAAATCCGCGGGGAGCTCCGAGAACCCAGAGCCCCGACGTCGTGATATATTTTTTTGAGGTGACCCCCAGAGATCAGGACCCCTTCCTGGGGACCGGTTCTTCATCCTGAGTCGTCAGGCCCGGGAGAGCCCGAGAATGGCAAAAAACCTCCCGTCATGATTGTTTCACGACTCGAGGGGGCCTGGGAGCCCATGTCTATACCATCGTCGATTCGTCGAGGAAGCCTCCGCGGCGACTTGTGCTCGATGCGTGGGCTGCCCTGGGGAAACAGCGTCCCAGCCTCGGAGCACAGGCGGGGCGAGACCAGGCGAGGCAAGGCAGGGCGCGAGACTATAGGAGGCAACTAGCTTTAAGTCGAGCCTGTCCCCCAACAGGCCGACTTTGAACGAAAAGTTTAAAATACATGAAAAATACCCTAAACATGCTCAACAAATGTCTGAAAATTATACCCAGACTATTTTTTTACTATCTTTGAACTTTCTCCCTATAGAGGGACAGGCCCGACTTACAACTAGCTGCTGGGAGGTCTTCGTCGGAAGGACTGAGGAGGATGAAGCCCCACTGCGACTACCTACCAGTCACCCCAACCTAACCCGAAGACCCAAATTTCGGGTTGGGGGGGCACGGGTTCCACATGAATTTTCTCGATGTTCCCCGCACCCCCCACACCGGAAATCGAGGGCGAATTCGGGCCTTCGGGTTGGGTTGGGGTGGTTTGGTGGCTGGTGACATTGGGGGCGGACTGTAAGCGGGATGGAGCCCGATTGCGCGGGATTCAGCTGGATTGCAAGCCGGATTGCGGACCAGGGTCAAGTCAGAAGTTGACCCCCCAGGAGATGCCTCAGAAGCGAGGCGAGCCCGGGCGAGGCCTCGCAGGGAGCGGAGGAGGCCCCAGAGGCCAGCCTACGGCTGGCTCACGCCGGCGCCCTGCGCTGCCGCGGCCGCGGCCGCGGCCTCGGAAGGCAGCTGGGAGCGTTTGCCGGGGAGCTGGTCGTCCTCGAAGCCCTTCCGGCAATGCTCCTTGTTGGACGTCCGAGACGGGTACGGAACACCCTCAGACCTGGGCGTCTCGCCATCGCTCGGACGTCCATTCCCCGTGCGTTTTGCGGCCTCGTGCGTTTGTATTTCGCACGATGGTCCAAGGTGCTCCCCGAGAAAACATGCGCACGTCCAAGCGATGCCGAGGCATTGCATATTGTTTCTCAACAGGCTGTGTCGCCCGGTTTCGAGCCCCAAGACCCTCACTGATCGACTCGGCTCGGCCAATGACGCAGAGAGATGGTTCCAGGGTTGTGGCCGTGATTTTTCTCGATGTTGCATTTTTGCTCGCAACGTCGGACCTTAGGAGGCATGGGTATGATGTCAAACAGACGATCGACGTAAAGCCCAGGGGGGAAGTGAGAGGGGCCAGGCTTTCTCAGGAAGCGGTGCGGCTTCGCAGAAGCCCTCGCGCCTCCTGGAAAGCCGTCTGTAGCTTTCGGGGAAAACTTAGAAGACTTCCCAGAAGGCGGGAGGGCCTTTGCGAAGCCCCGCAGCCTTCTGAGTAGGCCTGCCTCCTCCTCCTCCTCCTCCTCCTCCTCCCTGCCAGAGCTCGCCGCCGAGGCAAACTTTGTCCAGAACCGACGGCGGCCGCTGTTGGCAAGGCGACGATCTTCTGTCCCAAATGGACAACGTCTGCGGCGGCACCGACAGCGAGTCCTGCTCAAGATGATCGGGAACTGCTGCTGGTCTTCGTGCCCACTCTGCCCCCGCCCAATTCGCTCGTGCCGATCCTTGATCCAGCGTTCCTCCAGCTCGGTCACGTAGCTCAACACCTCCTTTTGGCGTCGCGCACAAAGGGATAGGGGGAGGGGGGAAGGCCCCTTGGAAGGCGGCCCCGGCCCTATGTCTATAGACAAGGCCTGCGCCTTCTAAGAACCAGGGGTGCCTCTAAGACGCCCTCCCCCTCCCCCTGCCTCCCTCTGGGCGTGGCTGATCCTTCCCGTCGTAGGACATGATCTGCTCGGTCTTGGGGTCGAAGTAGCCGCTCCCGTAGTCGTAAGTGCCCTTCGGGATGGATGGCGGGGTGGCCTCGTTGGTGAGCAGGGTCTTCCCCGCGGGGTGGAGGCCCTGCTTCACCTCGGTGTAGAAGCGCCGGTCGCCCTGGGAGACGTACTGCCAGTTCTTGTCCTCGTACAGGAGCTCGTCCGCGAAGAGGTACTTCCCCTCGACGGCGTAGCCTCGCTCCCAGCGGGCCTGGTAGCGGCCCCCATTCGGATACACCAGCGCACCCTCGCCGTGGAACTCGCCCTTGCGGAACTCCCCCTCGTAGACCACGCCGTTCGGGAACTTGAACCTGCCCTCACCCTCGAACCACTCGTTCTTCTCGGGCCCGGCGTA